ACAGAGACAATGCTGCTACAAAAATCCATTGGCGAGGTTGAGTACTGTGGCAAACTTTGATCACACCCCCAAAAATCACAGCATGGCTGGGGTTGGATGGGACCTAAAGTCCACCCAGTCCCATCAGACCAAGTTACCCACAGCCCATCCAGCCTTGCCTGTGTTACCTCCAGGGACAGGCGCCCACAGCTCTCTGGGCACCAATGCCAGTGCCTCACCAACTTCATAGGAGCAAATTTCTTCCTAATGCCCAATCTAAATCTCCCATCTGTTAGTTTTAAACCCTTCCCCCTTGTCCTATCACTACACCCCCTGACAAAGCTTGCTTTCCTGTAGGCTCCTTTAAGTACTGCAAGGCTGCTATAAGGTATCTGCAGAGCCTTCTCTTCTTCAGGTTGAATAGCCCCAGCCTTCTCAGCATGAATGCTAAATCATTGCTAATTAGCACATCACAAAAACCACGTGTCAGCTGTTTCCTGGTCAAGATCTTTCTAAGGGTGAGCCCATTTTCTTAAGGGGCATTTCATTCTTCTACAGCATCCAGGGATCTCAAAGCACATCATAAAGGAAGAGAAACGTCTTTAGGTTTGCTTTATGGCTGGAGAATCTGAGACCTAGAGCAGCAATGTCACTTCATAAAGACCAAATGGCTGTTCAAGTTGAACGTAACGTTTGAAAAAATCCTAAACATTTGAAATGCCTGTTTGAAAAACTGAAAATGTAACAGGCTTAGCTCTGAGAAACATCACAGTGTGGTTCACATCTGGGGTCAGTGCACAACAACTATTAATGAGAAAAAAATTCAGCTCAGTTAGCCATCCCTGGAGCCTGTTTGCTGAGGTTCTTCCTCCAGTCTTGCCGTGTTTTCATGATTCACCAACTCTTCGACAGGAATTACATTTAAAATTGCATGTAAGTAATGCATTTTTCTTAATAAATTCATGCTGACATTCAATTCCCTGGCATGCATTCCCAGCCCTTTGCCCCTTCTTCACTTTGTGACAGGGATGTACGATGAAAACTTGGTTATGCCATTCTGAGGAAAGATATCATAGTAATAACACTAAAAAATAACAATTAAAAAAACATCCACTATTTTGAACAGAAAATAACCAACCGTGTCATTTTCCAGTGTTATCAGAAATTGAATCTGAGCAATCGGTGCACTGAATGGCTCAGTCTCTCCTGGGATGCGTTGAAGCCAATGTGCAGTCAGGAATTAAACAATGGAGAATGACTAAGGACATTTTCTACTTCGCAATCTTTGTCACAGGTTCCTAGGATCAGAATTCATATCCAGCCTCCTTTGTCTCTGAAACTGTTTTAATGCAGGTCAATGTGGAAGTTTCTTCTAAAGAAATCCATCGAACAAATGCCTTCTGCATTGTTCAAAGTCCTCATACACTGAGACATAACAAAGTAATATGGTTTAACGATGAACTTCAGGACAGTCAGCATGATCAAAAAGGCTTTATTCTCAGCCAATCTAAATTTTCCCCAGTAATGATCAGATCTGTTCCTTGGTGTTATGCTTCCTTGGACTGCAGCAGTCCAGAGCATAGAGACAAACGAGAGATCAAAACCAGCGGAAATAACATTTGACAGATGAAATCCCATCTTCTGAAGAGGCTCAGAATCTTTAAAAGTACTTTTCATCCCTCTGGAACTGAGAATATTTATCCACTCCAGTCATATTGTGCTGAAGGACATGATTTGGTGGGAAATATTGGTGGTAGGTGGACGGTTGGTCTGGATGATCTCGGAGGTCTTTTCCAACCTTAGTGATCCTATGATACTGTATTGCCATGGGCTGGTATAATGATCCCTCTTGAAGAATACGATTCTGGTTTTGCCTAACAAGTGACCAGAACTCAGCTGAGCTGTACACCGGGCATTTGGCTCTCAACTAACCAAGAAATACAATTATCTGCATTAGTTAAAGCTTCCTTCTCTGTGTGTGAAACCAATTTTAATGGCCACAGGCTGAGTGCTTGCATATGGACATATAACTTAATGGACTTTTAAGACTGAGCCCTCATTTGGAAATAACATTGATTTCTTCTAGTAGCATTTATATCTCCTTATCTTCCAGCTCTAGGATGGCTCTCTCTCAGAATTAATCCTGGATGTTCTTTTGTAAAACATGAAGCTCAGCCTACCCAACAATTCTAATTCTTCATTAGATCAAATCCAACTTGTAGCTGTAATGAGGTCAGGGGCAGAGCTGTGTTGTTTTTAAAATCTTTGTGCCCTGCATTTCTAATGGCCACTTTTCAGTTACAGGAAGAGAAAAGCAGGCAGCTGGATGCAGTACTGGCTTTGCTCCCATATATGATAAGGCAGAGGAAGAGGTAACATGTTTGTGTTACCATGGTTCATGGCAGACACTAAATTTCAGTGGTTTCATTTCAGTACTTCTCACAGCATCCTTGAAAGTGTGAGTAACTCCAATGACACTAAGTAGGCTGCGTCCAAAGCAGGATGGTCAGCAGAGTGAGGGAGGGGATCCTGCCCCTCTGCTCTGTGCTGTGAGAGCTCACCTAGAGCACTGCAACCAGATGTGGAGTCCTCAGTACAGGAGAGATGTGGACCTGTTGCAGTGTGCCCAGAGAAGGGCCACAAAAATGATCCCAGGGATGGAAAACCTCCCTACAAGGATAGGCTGAGAGAGCTGGGGCTGTGCAGCCTGGAGAAGGGAAGGCTCCAGGGAGACCTGAGAGCGACCTGTCAGTATTGAAAGGGGGGATGTGAGAAAGTGGACAGACTCTTCAGCAGGGTCTGTTGCGATAGGACAAAGGAAAATGGTTTCAAGGTAAAAGAGGGGTGATTTGGATTGCACATAAGGAAGAAGTTTATCACAGCAAGGGTGGTGAGGAACACAGGTTGCCCATAGAGGTGGTGGTGCCCCATCCCTGCAGACACTCAAGGTCAGGCTGGATGGGGCTCTGAGCACCTGATGGAGCAGTGGGTGTGCTTGTTCATTGCAGAGGAGTTGGACTACATGACCTTTAAAGGACTCTTCCAGTTCAAAAGATTCTGTGATTCTAAGTGATACTTGAATCATTATGTACAGTTTAACTTGCATAACAAGCACAACATGAGCCTGTCAGCTTGCTTTAACACATTGTAAAGCCACTCATCCTTAATTACAAACACAAGACTTAACAGTTATTTAAAGAAAAGCCAAAAACCACAACACATTTTGGTAATCAGGGCTGTACTGTAACACAAGTTTTCAGATTCACCTTTCAGAACACATTTGCAGAGAGCTCCTTCCCCCACTCTGCAGTGCTTTCTGATGGGAGGAAGCATGAGGAAAACAAAGAAAGGGCTTTACCCTGCTGCTCCCCGCCCCACTGTACAATTACTGTTGATGGCTTATTAGTGCTTTAACTAGAACTCAAGTGCTAACTAGAACTCAATGTGGAATGGTTTAATAGGTCAGGTTGGTCAGTTGGTTGGTCACTAGCTCGCTAGCTATGGGGAGTGCTCAGGATTTGGTTTGGTTATCAGTTTGGATTAAAAGGTTTTAAGGGCCGCTCTAAATTACAGGCAGAGCAAATGGTCTGTATAGACAGAGCCTTCAACTGTTCTTTCATTTGTCATTCCTCTCTGGTGCCATTATGCAGAAAGGGCTATTTGGTGATGAAAAAGTTATTCTTATGATTCTGATCTACCTATGGTAGCCACCAGCAGTGACATGCAAGGATTTTACAGATCTCGTGGATTTCTAGAGAGACACAAAGGATCTATGGTAGATTCACAGTTCAGACTCCTAGGCCACGATGTAAAAATGAAATGTTTTGAATACTGCAGGACTGCTAACTTGCATTATTTAAATAGGATTTGCATGCGAGTTGGTCTCTGTATCAGTGAGTTCACTTACAATTATATTGCGCGTCACCCCAAATATATTTCTCACTGTAAAGAATTTTTACATAAAAGCAGACCTTTTTTCTTTCCAGCTACATACAGTGTGATCTATTTGCCTCATCTTAACAGTTAATTCAGCAATTAACTTTCCTACATCCAGGTTAGGAAACAATTAGATTAGTAGCTGGCATCCTAGGCAACAGAGAAGTTCATGCAGAATCACATGAAAAGCACAGACCTGACAAGGTGAGAACTCAAGGCTTAGCTTTGAAAAAGCCTTTTAGCCTTGAAAAAGCTCTGAGGCATTTATACCTACTCCATGGAGGCTGGAGCAGCATTAAGGACAGTTACAACCCTTTTTGGTGCCCTAAGTGAAAGGGAATCCATTGAGCCTGGAAACTTTGCCAGGACATCTGTCTTCTTCCCAGTTGGCTCTTACTGTGGTAAGAAGATTGGCTTTTCTCCATATTGTCCTTTCTAATAATGTTGATCTTGCCCATCCACACAAAGTACGTCCTGGGAAAGCACCTGTGTTTTTATGTTGAAGGTCCAGAACAGTTTCTGAGTAAACTTCCTAACTTCTCTGCCTGCTGTTGGTTGGCACAGGGGACAAAGCACTGGCTACACAGACAAACAGCCTTTAATTGTGTGCAGTTGTGAGAAGGAAAGTTAAAGTATGAAGGCCTACAGATAAATACACTGCAATAATGGGGATAGAGGAGATGCAGATGACTGCACAAGGAAATGCAATTCCTTACCACAATTGCTACTTTTCTTTAATCAGTGTGCAGGATGGAAGTGATCTAGTTCTCAAGAGCCTCAAGTGGAGAACAGATGTTATCGCATGCTTACTGTTTTTGAATGTGCTTCCTTGCTACATCTCAAAAGATTTTACAAAGGAATGCAAGCAGCATTACAAAGGAGGAGAGAAGAACCCCTAAGGTCAAGGAAACAACCAAAAACAGATGGCAGCAATTTTTGACGTGCAGTGTTAGCTACCAAGGTGAAGGCGCTTCACCTTGTTTGTGTCTTATTGTATTTGAAAGTACAAGTGGAACTTCACAGGTGCTTGTGAAATATCCCTCAATGGGACATGGCAGTGTCCTTCCACCCACATAAATCCTTACCAGAAGAACAAGAATCACTGGCCCTTGATATATGTAGTCGATATATTTCCCTGGTTCTTTTCCAAACCAGCATCTGTAAGAAACAAAACAAATGAGAAAACTGTTTATAAAAGGAATGAAGGTAGATTGTAATATCAAGGACACAGTGGAGATACGTTATATTCTAACTTCTTTAATTATGTATATAATCATCAGTGATGGAGTTTTCTGTTACAAGGCCTTCTTTTGTTTTGGACACAGATCTGAGCTCCACTTTCCCACGCCATCAGAAAATTAATGTTCCAACTATTGTTTTGATCACTGTCTATATAACTGTTTCCAAGAAAAGTGAGAAACTGCTATCAGAGGACACAAAAGATGTAACCTTCTGGGTTTGACAGGGATGAAAGAGATTATTTTTAAGGAAGAAGTCTGTTACTTGTTGCAATGCCCACACACCCTTCAAAGAAAGCTATTATGTCAAATGTGTCTCAAGTTGCAAGGAAATAATGTCTAAATAAGGTATTGGATGAATATGCATTTCATCCAGCTGGCTTTGAACCAGGCTGGTGAACACCAAATTCAGCACTTAATACAAAGAAAATAAAGCTAGCAAACACCTGATCCAACATTACTAAAAGGGAACAAACTTGGGTTAAATGAAACCACAAGTAAACCACAGGAACAAAGTTCAGGCACAGACTCAATGATTTACAGCATTACATTGTCCTTGGTGTAGTTCTGTTGCAGTCCAGACAACAGCCAACTCCCAGACAATTCAAGGGAACAAATTTGGAGTTGTTATGATCTAGAGAATCTCCCCAGCAGTCCACAGGCTACTCAGACCATGTTGTTTGAACTGGTCCCACTAGTGACTTCAGGCTCATCTGATTTAGTACTACAGACACGGCCACAACGTCTGGATACTGGTTCCACCAAGCAGGGACAACTTTGCTGCCATGATGCCATAACGCCTTAAGGCTTATGTTATTGCAGCTCCAAATCTTGTCCCTTAGGAAGTAGGTTTTGGACTCCAAGTGTACAAGGGCTCTTTCTCTTTGTGAACGTTACACTAATCTGCAAAAATGATGTCTTCTCTGCATTAGTCTTGTCACTAAATATAAGGCTGGTGGGGCTGGAGACATGAAAACAAGGGCAGTTACTGAGCCAAGAGGACCATAATATGGATGCAGATCTGCACTTTTACAAACATGAAAGATGTATTACTTGTTGCTTCCACAGTTTGCAGTCTATAAGACTCACAAGTCAATAAAAAAAGCAAAGAGGCAGCTCAAATGGAAACAATTTCACTCAGACAGTGCCCCAAAGCCTATCTTTCTCCAAAAGGCATTGCTTGCTAAAACAGAAGGAACTGTTTGCTCACTGCAAAATGCTCTTATCAACGTGAACCCACAGAAACGTTGAGATACGCAGTAGGTTTCTAGGAACACAATTCAGTACCACAAAACTGGCTGCTTTTCTGTAATATTTTAAGGTTCAAATGAATGATGGGCTTTGAATATTTTATAGGTATAAAACACATCTGTTATTCCCTGGTTCACTGACTGCAAATTAGTGTAAATTGATAATTTTGCAACTAATCTCCCAAAATCTGGCAGTAAGAACGAGACTTGGAATAAAGTATTTTCTGCAGCCAATTTCTCTTCCAAGAAGAATCCCCAAGGCAGCTTTAATAGAATGAAACTTTTTTTTTTTTTTTTTTTTTTTTTTTTGGATTAGAGAGATGGAAAGAAATGAAAAAAAAATGAAGCCTAAGATATGCCAAGGCAGGAAACGCAACTCTCCAGAACTTGGATTTGAGAGATGTTTTTGAAGGGCATTTTGAGGCAACTACTACAGATTGCCTGAAAATTGTAGAACCGAAAGCTAATAAGGAGTTTCTAGGAAGCTGGCTATTCTAGCAGAAGAATTCAAATGGGACAAATAAGAGACTGAGACATGGAGCAGGACTCTGTGGGCTAGAAGAAATCCAAAGAAAATCTGGAAGGGCGCTGGTAGAGCACAAAAAGAGGTTACAGAGCAAAGGCTGCTCACTGCTCTCTGGAATTCAAGTATTGCTTAACTGCAAGATCATACTGAAGAGATAATACTAACATTTACTGTCTGAAGCTCAGTATGAGACCAAAGTTGTATTGAAATAACAATGTATATATAAACACATCCACAAAATTTGAGGGAATCAGGTTGTTGCCAAAGTAGGCTAATACAACACAGGCAAGCTTGACTTTCCAGATTCCTTTTGTAGTCAGTAGAGAAAAAAAGATATAGAAAGCTTTTCTAGGATGGTATTCATCTTGTTATGCTATAATTAGGCTAAATTTTTAGTTTGCAATATAAACATTTCTAATCTGCCCATTAAATCAGTGGAGTGAGGACAGAGGATAGGTAAGTGCTGGTGACACTACATATATCTACATCTATTTCGCTGTACTTCATACCTTCAGTCTAACTTACCAGACTGAGGCCTTAGCTGATGTGTTGCAGACTGTCTGTCATCTTAACTCTTGCTCCAAATCCAACATAAGCCCTTATTCTTACAGTAAAACCTGCACTACACGTTTCTTTAAAACCAAAAAGAGAAATCTAAAACACTGACAATCACACGGTGCATCAGACTTTTAATCCCAGCTGTGTGAAATTACATATGTAAAGCCATTTTCTTTTTTCTTTTTTGTCTCTGCAAGAATAAACAAACACTCCCTCAATACTGAAGAGCAATTGTGCATTATTTTAATCTTTCAAGCTACTATGAGTTGCATAACATGAACCCCAGTTCAGGATCCCAAAAACTCACATTACAGTTTAAATGAAATATCATGTGCTTGAGAAGATGACTGAATATTTATGACAGCTGACAGGCTCTTTTGATTGACCAATATCAAAGTTTGAGGAAAAAATCCCAACGCAGATGCCTGTTTATCTCCCTTATTTTTCAATTTCATGCACTTACTGTTTTCAGGTGGAAGAGAGAGAACCAGAAATGCAAGAACTCCAGCCATCAGACTACTATTGGCATGCTGAACTGAATTCTGCACACCCTTTAGCACTCAACTGTAGTTTTCAGCAATGTTTCGAGCAGGACTCTCATTGAAGGAGATTAACCTGACTGTAAATCATACACAAAGCTATCAAATGAGAACACAGGGGTTTGGTGAAGGAGATTTGGGAAACTATCGATACTCTAGGAGATGGCTCAGATAGCGCTCCGAAATTTGAGATTGTTTGGGTTTACATGAAGGGGATCTGACCTTTTCTCTTTCCAAACAGTCTAATTTCTAAATTCTTAGTTCAGCCTGTAGGAATTTCCTAATTTATTTAGACAGCCACATAAACACAAATGTTAACGTCACTTACTGCTCGTTTTCATAATACAGTTTGCCAATGGCCCACGCAATGATGATTGGGCAAGGAATACCTACAACAACAAACCAAATCCATTATTTAATCGCAGTCCATTTATGTGTTGATGATACAGATACAGAAAGAGGTTTGTAATGAGCATAGGAAGTCTTGCTTAATGCACTGGTAGACTAAATGCAAGCGGTCCTATCTTGGTACATGTGAGACACTGCAGTTGCTGTGACTTCTTTATGTATTAAAGAATGGTATCAACAAGAAAAGAAATTCAGTACTAGTAAGAAAAGTTAATGAAATTATTAACAACATAAATACATATTATTATTTTTCTGTAAACGTTACCGGAACATTTTGGTTCATTCACAGGTAATTCTGGTCCCATTTCATTTTCCTCCAATTTATACGGTTTTCTATAAGGTTTTATAGAGAGTATTTGGAGATGGGTATTGCTTGAATGTTTATTTCCCAGGCTGCAAGAAGACTGTAAATTTAGTTGAATTTGAATTTCAGCATCTTCAACAAATTTGAGTTGTGCCCTGAACTTGTGAAACGGGTTGAAGAGAGTCTCTTGTTTTCCTGCCAGGTTAGAATTCATTCTTTTTTGCTCTTTTCTAAAGGATCCAGCTACTCTTAACCATATGTATTTTGTTGAAGAAGTGCTTGGGAAGTTCCCATCTCCATTTCCCCCTTTCCCTGTAACCTGTCTCGCTGCTCTTGTTCTCATCACTTTAATGCTCAGCACCATACAACACCATTTTAAATCCACGAGGCACTTACACCATCCAATGAAGAGAAAGACCCATTTCCGCAGCTTATCCGTGGAGTAGGTCATCACTATAGCAGTATGTAAGTAGCAGCCTTCCACAAACATCCAGAAGAAGTTGGTCACCACAAAATAATTGTAGACAGTGGTAATACACCGACACCAGGGCTGGAAAGGAGACAGGAAATAACATCTTGAAATAATGGTAAGACCATTTCAAAGACACCATTTCTCGCTCATCTCTTAAAATCAATGGCAGAAGTCATTCAAAGAGTGCACGTTTATGCCTGGGACTTGGAACTGTGGTATCTTAGCTGCAGTTGGGAGCTCACAGCTGTATCTGTCACTTTCTGCTGAGGGTTGGCTTTGCCCACAACATGCATGAGTCTCTGCACCAAGCATGCATGGAAGCTAACACGCCAGGAGACGTGCCTTCCTGAGCATTCTGCAAGCAGCCATGTGGAAAGAAAACAAGAGGAGGCAGCCACTTGACTACAGGGGATCTTCCACAGTGGCACAGCCTTAGCCTGGGACCATTTCCAAGGACAGCTTGTGAGCGTGAGCATCTCTTAGGCAGTACTACTTATCTGCTGAGCAATCTGAAGAAAATTTAAGATAAAGTTAACATTGCAGTCCCGTTTCACTTCCACTGAAGGAGCAATACTGATATTTTGGGGAAAAAAAAGGATATTTTTCTTTTAAGCTATGTGTTTATCAACTATTTCATCCCGTCTATTCCTGCCATTTGTGTCTTTGCAGCACTGCCATTTGTTTAAGTTGCAGTACTGCACATGGCAGCCTTGAATTTCGTCTATAACATCACAGTACTTTTTGGTCAGGCTCAACGTAGGCAGCTCCTATGGTTGTGTGCAGGGAGAGCACAGCTGTGCAACAGGCAATTATCCACAGAGAGGCAGATGGTAACAACCCAACAATCATTCATTAAGAAGCTGCTGATGGTGATTTCCATAGCTCTACACACAGAAGTCTGGGAAAATTCCTTCCTGGCCAAGCATGCATTCGGTGTATTCCCTGAAGCATGACATTAATTACCTATGTTAGCTGGTAGCACATGTCATTTTCGGTCTCACCATTCTCCAGCCTTTTAATTAACTCTACTGAAGAATTCGAAACTTTTGACCCTCAGTTAATTTCATTTTGGACCTCATCTGCTTGGGTACTGATGATCTCTATGCATTCAACAGAGCAACAGACGCACTTTCAAACCCAGCAGAGTTCTGTGGACTAAAAACTCATTGGGCAAGAAACACAGACACAAAATGATATTGCGTCGACAAGTGGCGATCACTTCTGTTTTACTGAGCTTCAACAAACAGAAAGAAAAAATCCTTTTGGATTTGTTATGGCCTTTCATGTCTGTGTAATTTCATCAAGAGTTGAAATGTAGTTTGCCCTGATCCTTTCAATGGGACTTAAAAACAAAACCACTCAGCAGAAGATGAACTTCCTTTATTCACAGAATCACAGGATGATCCAAGTTGGAAGGGACCTCAAGGATCATGAATTTCCAACACTCTGCCATATGCAGGGCCACCAACCTCCACATTTAATACCAGACCAGGCTGCCCAGGGCCCCATCCAACCTGGCATTGAACACCTCCAGGGATGGGGCATCCACAGCCTCTCTGGGCAGCTGTCCCAGCACCTCACCATTCTCTCTGTGAAGAACTTCCCCCTGACATCCAACCTACATCTTCCCTCCCTCAACTTAAAACCATTTCCCCTTGTTTTGCTCTTATCTGCCCTTTCCAAGTTTAGTGTAAGCGAACTAGATATTTTTTTCTCTCTCTGTTCAGCCTAAATGAAGTAGAATGAGAAGGAACCCCTCCTCTCTATTTCTGGCTACTACCAAGCACTTCGGTTTCATTCCTGATTGACTCCCAAACTACTAAGACCATTTTTCCTAAAGCACTCAGTCTCATATTTGCTTTTGCTGTCTAAGAAGGTATAAACATGAATTAAATCCTTCCCTGTGACCTCAATCTCATGTAAACTCTCCCATGTGACACTGACACTTGTTCTGCCCTTTCCCTCGGCTGTAAAACTTACACAGCCTTTCTTCTTTTCGAACGAACTTACAGCTAATTGCACTTCAGCCTGCTGCTCCTCTGTCAGAACTGAGTGGCATTGCACCGTGGGTTGTGAACGAGCAGGGACACCTACAGACCCACACACACGAAGGCTGTCAGATCTCCCTCTGCACCGTTTCCATAGGAAACCAGAACAAAATGAATTTTAATGACTCCACGCAATTCCTATCGGAATCGTGCATTTGATATTATCAAATAATAAACCCAATTAGCAGAACTCATTAATTTATGCCATTTCATTTATTTGCCAGAGGACACTCGGTCCTCCCATGTATCCACCATTTCAGCACTTCCCCTTCTTGATTTATTAGCATCAGCACGACAATTTCATGCAAAATGTTTTCATGTTGAGTCCTCTACGTTTCTGTAATGTATGATTTAGTCTCCTCTGATTAACCTCAAAGAGATAACGTGATGAGCTGCCATAAATTATGCTGCTCCCATTGGTTTTGGAGGCATTGTTTTGTCGCTGACTTCCATCACAATAAGAGCATGGCCACTAAGTTTGTATAAAGCACTCCCCCAAAAAAGCCTGTGGTATTTTGTGGAGAAAAGGTGAGCAATGGTAAACTGAGCCATGTGAGGATCTGCTTTGTCTTCATTGGTTTATATTTTCCTGGGCATTTTGTGGTGCCATTTTAAAACACAGTTGAGTCTCTAAGCGCAATGGATTACTCCAAAATAATTGTAAAAATCTGCATTAATATTTCAGTATTATCCAGAAAGCAAACCACACAGCACAGAACTATCAGCAGTAAAGCTCATATCCAACCATCTTTCATAGCCTGAAAATGACAGAAACACAAAGCAAAGATGGAACTAATGAAAGCTCCATCTTCTTAAAGGAGTATCTACTTGAACAGAAATACAGTTATGCATAGATAAGACAAAAAAACTTAGAATCTTGGGCTTCATTTTTATCGTGGTACTGAAGACTTTGCTGTTCACTCTTCCAAACTGTGGGATCACAAAATCACAGAATCACAGAATGGCCTGGGTTGAAAAGGACCACGATGCTCATCCAGTTCCAACCCCCTGCTGTGTGCAGGGTCACCAACCAGCAGCCCAGGCTGCCCAGAGCCACATCCAGCCTGGCCTTGAATGCCTGCAGGGATGGGGCATCCACAGCCTCCTTGGGCAACCTGTGCCAGTGCCTCACCACCCTCTGGGGGAAAAACATCCTCCTAATACTTAACCCAAACCTCCCCTGGCTCAGTTTAAAACCATTCTCCCTTGTCCTATCACTATCCACCCTCATAAACAGTTGTACCTCCTCTTGTTTATATCTCCCTTCAAATACTGGAAGGCCACAAATCTGACATTTGAAAAGTTAACCGAGGATGATTAAGTGCTCAGCTGACTTCAAACAAACGGATATCTGAGCTCCTGAAGTGGTTTTCAATTTCTGCAGAAACATCTCCTCCAGGAGCACACATTGCTTGCTATCAGTGAAGGATCCAGCTTTTTCTTTATGGGCAGTTCTGCACTTTAGGAAAGCAAGTGTGCTTTCCAAAACAAATCTATGAAGGGTGTGCTCATGTATGTATCCGTAACACAATGGTAAGTTGTTTATTGTGGAGGTAGCCATCAGGAAACAGTCCTAAAAGCAGAATGTTCCACTAGAAGAACACTACTGAGAACAGCACAAAGCCTGTAAAAGGGATCTATCAAAAAGAATGATTCCCCAAGGAAATGCGGAATTATTTCCCAAGAAAACTGAGAACAAGTATTTTTCTTTATGAGAGAACGCTTTTAATCCATTTCAAAATCTACTTTATAATATTTTATTTTTAATAATTTAAACATATTCCTTCTCTGAAAGAGCGGTCAAGCACTGGAATGGGCTGCCCAGGGAGGTGGTGGAGTCACTGACCTTGGAGGTGTTCAAGGAACGTTTGGATTTTGTGTTGAAGGACGTGGTTTAGTGAGATCTATTGGTGATAGGTGGATGGTTGGACTGGATGATCTTGAAGGTCTTTTCCAACCTTGGTGATTCTGTGAAAATCCTCATGTTATTGGGGCTTCTGGGTAAGGCAAGGCATTGCAGTACTAACAGAGGGACTGCTCCCATGTCCTCAGTCAAACCAGAAGCATCAGTTGGGAGTTCCATGAGTGAACAAGAAATAAGAGAAATGCGAGCGTGGTGACGCCTTGCTTTTATCAAGAGTGCTCAGTGGCGTGCACAGAAGATGCCCCACTTCTTGCCCCTCTCCTATTTTTTACTGTGTTGATCTGCCCTGTCCCTTGGAGTGGCTGTTACCCTCAATCATAAGAAAGCTGACTTAGGAAGCAGCAACCTCTTCTTTGCTATTAAGTTGGCTGTGCTAGTTTCCCACTAGTTAAGTGAGCTCATCTCCAAGGATTCAGCCTTCCCCAAGGGACCAAGAAAAGGAGCAGAGCTAGAGCCAAGCAGCAGGAGCTGGAGCAAAGAGTTTGCATCCCTGGAGGAATGAGTCCCTGGATGCAGCCCATCTCACACAACCTCATAGTGAAGATGGGATTAGCAGAAAAATGGAACCACAAAGATATAAAGGGGCAAAACCGTTCTGTTTCAGGTCTGATTTCTTGTATTTGCTGCAGAGCCCCTCAGGCTCCAGACAGAAAGGTGCCTGCTGTCATCAGACAAAGTAGCTGACTGAAAGCCTGAACAGCCAAAGCAATTATTTCTGTTCCTGTTTGTGGAGGTGTTGTCCTCTGGAATGAATGTTTTTTGCACAGAAATGCAATCACTGCAAGATGCTGTGACAAGAATATTTGAGAACCACAATACTGTGTCTCAAAGCAAAAGTATTTGGGAAATCTCAGTGGACAATGAAGATTAGGGAGATTTTTAGAGCTGGATTATGACTATAAAAATTTTGACATTCAGCAATGAGCAAATAAATGGAAATTTAGAAAATCTAAGTTGTTTTTTTTTTTTTCCTTGAAAGGACATGAAAAATGCTCTGAGTGTGTGCCCTTTGGTATATTTCTATCAGCTGAATGAATTCAGCGCCTCAGCTCACCCCCAAACTGTGTGCCACACCACCTCCAAGCACTTACTTCGTTGCTTTCATGTATGTTGTGATCTATCATTTGCAGCAGAAACCACATCACGTTTCTCAGGATGAACGTGGTGATCAGATTCCAGTGGATAATATTCCGAAGGCATCTGATACTCCTAAACGGGGAAATAGATTTAAATCATTATATATAGTGAATATATAGACATATACATAAAGTAAGTTGTATACAAGTATATAAAATACACAAGCTAATTCTGTTCACCTGCCAAGTTCCTCGTAATCTATTCCCACCCATAACCTTCTTACTCCATGAGAAAGGAGGTTCTTCTTTGCCATGCTCAGCAATGATGGACTGCGAGGATGTCTGTAGCACATCCTCACTAACAAATTACTGGGCCAGGCCCAGGTAACTGGTAGAGCTGTGCCAAAGCCAAAAATTGGACTTTGCAGTGTAGTCACAATGAATATAAATGGTGTGAATACAAAACAGCAGCAGATGGATGGTAAAACATGTGGTGCTTGCTATATGCCTTTCTTCCAGGAACCAAGTTATCAGAACCATTTTCATAGGGGTTCAAATAGCCAGCGTGCTTCCTGGGATCATCAGGGTAGGATTCTCCATTTGGCATATCAGCCTCCCTGCTTGTAACATGAGACATATGCAGAAAGTGCTGTGAGAAGGCACAATCCAGTAGCCCACATAGCCACTGCCTCAGGTCTTTTGTACGACAAGCAAGCCAGCCTCCTGCAGAACAAACATTTTGCTATCAGAAAACCCTACTGCATTTTTCCAAGGACCTGATTAGTCAACCTGAGGGCCAGAAGCAATTCTGTTTGTGTTCTTCAGCCTCACAACCCTCTCAAAGACTTCTCAGCAATCCAGCAAAAAGCAAATGGAAAACCTCCCACATATGACATACTGCAACGTACAACGATGCTCCGAGGTATAACCCTACAAACCAGTGTTAGAACAGCTTCTGAGTTTAACAACTCAGGCTGTAAAATCAGTGTTTTGTTTTCAGAGCCCCAGTGACTGGAGTCAATATTGAAAAGAAAAAAAAAGAAAAAAGAAGTCCAGCTACTGACATCCATTCACTTTTATGTAGGGTACAGAGCAAAAAGTGTTGCTCTCAGCTCACCTGTGCTAGCAGGGGACCTGGCAGACATGTCTCAGTTCTTTGAAAACTTTTCTTCCAGCCAAAGGCCAGCATTCATGGGTAGGCTTTCAAAGCAACCATGCAACCAACATCCACTGCCTTTCGTGTTGAACCCCAAGAGCCTATTTGGCTTCAGACTGACTTTGAAACATGCCACTGGGGTTCGTTCTTTGTTGACCATTCTGCACACAAATGTCCTGCAGCTTCTGTTCTCCTACATGTTTTAATCACTTCTGTCAGGTTAAGGATTAGCTGATTAAGGAAGGAGTGTGAAATACTACTTCTGGGGGTGGGGAAAGAAGCAGGGGACTAAAATTGAGGAAATTCAGGTCAAACGACAGAGGTGCTCTCATGAAACTAATTGCTTTTGAGAACTCTAGCAGCAAAACAGATTCAGTGCACAATGCCTCTGCTGAGATGTAGTTTCATCATCCCATATGCTAGGAGATCACTATGTCTGTCTGGAAGAAACCTGATTCCCACTAGGCATACAGCACAACATTGGACTGGAGAAGAAAACAGGATTAAACTGTTTCAGATCTTTTGGTTAAGTTCTTAGAAAGAGCTTTCCTGACAGCAGGATCCCAGTCATCAAAATCACTTTCTTTTCTGTGCCTAGGAATACAAAGACAACCCTAGCATACACTGTCCTCACAGCCTTTGCCCTCAGTACTGCCTCTTGGTTCACACTGCTGTCTTCTTTGCCCATCTCTCTGCACTCAGCACTGGCTTTTGTTTGGGCTGGTAGATGCTTAGGACAGAAACTGACTTTTAGTGATGTCTGCTCAGCAACAAGAGCAAGAGTGTAGGGTCTGTGTTGGGACCTCCCAAGTTATGCAGGGGATGATGAAGATCAAAATTACTTGTTTAAAAACAAAAACCAACACAATTACAATGTGATGAGGGAAGATATGGTCCTGGTGTGAAATTAAGTGAAGTATAAGTACAACCAACACCTGGAATTTACCAATATGAGGCTTCAAACTTTGTCAAATAATGCTTTGGACATGGAACGTGGACAGCTGGCTCCCACAACCCACTGCCTTTAGCAAATGACACCTTTTAGGAATCAGCACCCATGTAATGCAGTCTCATTCCCTTCTGACACTCTGTTGGCACAGCTGGTAAGCTGTGCTTTGACCAACTAAAAAGACTGACGTCTTAGAGCTGATGGAGCAGGGTAGGACGATCTGCTGCTCCTCCCCAGTCACATTCCAACCCACTTCCCTGCCTTGGCACAGGTGAGAGGCAGGAATTGCTTTTGTGATGGCTGGGGCACTGCTCTGCCAGGGTAAATAGTTGGGATTTGAATGTACAACACTACTCTCAGGCTGAGACATGTACCATGGAATCATAAAACAGCTCAGGTCAGAAAGGACCTCAAAGATCATCCCTGCCAAGGGGTGCCAAGTCTGAATGTGCTGCAGAGCTTCTCAGTGGTTCAGACGGTGAGGATACCCCAGACATGGAATAGTTACCATTTTTCCTCTTTTGGTTTCTGTGTTTCTGTCTCCTAACCAGTACTAGCACAAAAATCACAGTGTCCATAATGCAATTCACAGCCAAGGGTAGGAAAAGCACGAGAGAAGCATGTCAGATTCAGGCTGGGCAGGGAGACACAGCAGAGTAGTGCAGTGTGTGGAGGCTGCAATGCACAGCAGTGAGAACTGTGGCTAAGCCAACTGGTACATAAGGGAAAAGCTCCTGCCAGACACCTAAACAAGTTTCTTTCGTGTACAGGAACTGCTGGTGAATATCAGCATGGTTATTTACTGTGGATAAAGCACTGTGAGGGATACTGGCTGAGACAACGGTCCCCAGAGCCTACCCATAAATTTTATTTGTGTACCTAAGAGGTGGACAGAGGATGAAGGATGTGCAACACAACAAAGAGGAGACTTGAAGTGCATCTGCTGTTTGGTAGAGGGACAAAGCCGGCCTGCTCATAATAATCTCAGAGCCTGATGAAGAAACTCATAATTCTCAGAGTCATTTGTTCTCCCCAGGTATCTTCTTGGCCTTTGGTAGGTAGAAGCAAGCTGAAACTTACACACCTTAATTTGCTTTGAAATACTGCTGCTATTCATAAAAATGACCTGTCCTGAAGTCACAAACAGTCTTCTGTGGCAATGGGTTCCACAGCTCCTTTCTCCATGATTAATTATTACTGGCTTCACTTTATGGAATGAGAAAGCAAACAAGTCAGTGTTCCAGGAACAGCGATAACTGCCTTCACGGGCAGCCCTGAAAAGGAACTCACATCATTACTGTGAGTAGGGGGAGCTGGAATGTGTGCTGTATGACAAGTTAGTGAATTGAACTCTTGTAAAGTCAGGTGAATGGCATGAATGCATTTCCTTGCAATTCAGAAGTTCTGAATTGAGGTGTTATTCTTACCTCAGCAGGGAGATGTTGCAATCTGGAGTGTGGCAGTGACAGTATAAAGAAAATGATATTTTCCTGATACTGGGAAGCCAAATAGTCATGAAAGGGAAGAAATGGGTGACTGAAATGATGCTTCAGATACAACTGAAGCACTTCTAGGAAGAAATTGTGAATTACAGAGCCATTTTAAGTCCCTCAGCCTAAAATACTGGATGACAGAAGGTTTCATCTTCATCTACGTGTCAGGTATCACTGTTTCTGTCATTTCTGCCTATTTGCAGCCCTTGCTGCCCATGGAGGTGTGCAGCCTTACTTCCAAGACCAGCAGCAGTAGATGCCATCCCAGTGAGCACAGAATCATGGAATGGTTTGGGCTGGAAAGGACCTTAAAGATTATCCAGTTCCAACCCTCTGCCATGGGTTGGTTGCTTCAAAGCAGCTCAGGCTGCCCAGGGCCCCATCCAACCTGCCTTTAAGTACCTCCAGGGATGAAGCATCCACAGCATCTCTAGGCAGGCACATCCCAGAGGAGACACCATGCACTGAGGCTATGGATTTTCACTAAAAATCCTTCTCCTATATTTTCTGGATCCTTCTCAGACAAAATGTGCTGGTCGAGACCTTGGCTGGGCTCTTCTCCTTACTCTTCCCTGGTGCATGGGTCCCAGGGTAGTAGGAAAGAGAAATGTTGGAGCAATTCAGCCAGAACAGATTCAAGGACTTAGGCCAAAACATAAAGACATTGGAGCTTCCATATTCAGTCAGACGAAAGAGCCATGGAGGCTGAGGCTGTCAGCAAAAGGCAACGCTCCTGAAGTAGCACAGTTCACACAGCAATTTCACTTTTGGCTGTGCCTGAAAGCAGAGTTTGGGCCTGATGTATCCCCCTGAAATACAGCATGCAAGCAGTGCCAGAAAAGATGCATAGGTTACACCGAGCAAATGAGCAGGCAGAAAGAAAAGGGCTTCCTGGAAAGGAGAGAAAGATGATGAGTTTTCCAACTTGCAGGGAGGACACCACTTCCTACATACACGGGTACTTGACTAGCAGCAGGTCTCTGTGCTGAACAGAGCCAGACAAGGTGATCTAGGAGCACGCATCTCCCACTGCACGCACACACGGAGCCCCATAAAAGCATGAGCTTCAGCCCTATATATATATAGTAGAAACTTAGATGCAAAGAAGCAATTAAGAAGCAATTAAGGTGAAAGCAAACGTAATTCTCATTGGCCCTCCTAGCTAGTAATCAAAAGCCAGGTGTATGGTGGGAAATTGCACATAATGACCTCTTTATTTGATTTGAGAACAGATCGTGTTTCAAGCTCAAATGTCATTTTCTGACTTAATACCATACCCCTGGCATCCTGAATCGCTTGCTGTGCTGGATATCATAACTAGGCTTCCATAGCAGGAACAAGCTGCAAATGAAAAGCAAGGAAAACTCTCCTGCAGTTGGCTGCAACCTGTGTCAGAAGTGGGCAGGGTTTCTGATTGCTCATAGAGAAAAGCACACTCCGCTAATTATCTCAGTCAAATGATCTTAATTGCATGATGTGGTGTAGAAAGCAAAGAATTAGAAAATTCATTCTCTGGACTGGGAAATGCTGACAGC